ATTAGTTGGTCCTTCTGGTCAGAGTCCAAACTGAGGGAGAAATTGTTGATAGGATTTACTCCTTCCTATCCCCATTTTTTTCAGTATCTGCCCAAACCATGTTCACCTCCTATACCCCAGCCCTATTCATCCAGAGATGTGAGCCCCCACTGTCCTCCAACTCAGTTCCCATATTATTTTATTTATTTATTTATTTTTAAAGAGAGAGAGAGAATTTTTTAATATTTATTTTTTAGTTTTCGGCAGACACAACATTTTTGGTTTTGCATGTGGTGCTGAGGATCGAACCTGGGCCACACGCATGCCAGGCAAGCGCGCTACCGCTTGAGCCACATCCCCAGCTCCCGATATTATTTTAAACTCTCAGTCTGTAAGACTTGGGAGATGGCAGGGTGAGTCTGGGGTTTAAGAACCAGTGAGAACCCTGAGGAGAGAAGGCCAAGGCTGGGACATACCTGTAGAGTTTAGGGATGGCATGGGCAGCAGTTTTCCGCACATAGGGTGACATGTCTGAGGCAGCTTCCTTGATGGCTAGCATCATGATGGGCACTATAATGGGCACACGGATGCTAGAAAGGACGCGGAGGGCACTGGCACGAATCAGTTGGTTGGGATCCTAAGGGCAGAGGTGGAGGCAGAGCTGTAAGAGGGCACCAGTGCCCTGATGGATGGGGACACCACACCTCTGTAGGTCACTATCTCTGGCTACTATGACCAGTTCTTGAATCCCTGCCTCCTGAACTGAGCCTGGATAAGGTGCCAGTATTGGAGAATTTGAGGGCACTGCCTGCAGGCACTGACTCTTGGCTCCGGCTGAAGAAATATGACACCTGGACAGGTGTGGCAAGGGGCAGCTCTGCTTTCAGAAAAAGTGAAAAATCTTCAGAATCCCTAGAGTTCTTTAAACACCTCCTGTTCCTTTGGAGAGTCTTTTTATGCCTGAGGTACTGCCAGCAAATGCAAGTTGGTCTTTCTTCCAAAGAGGTCACCCTTAAATTCTTCTCTCCCAGCAACCTCTCAACAACTGCTCTTATTCCACAGTGTTTAAGACAGAGTAGCTGCATAGCACCCTCCTCTTTACTTCTATTGCATCCTCTATATATCTGATAATCTCTAGACACACTGTATTATAATCATAGAGCTTAGGGCTGTCTTCCCACTATTAGTATCATCAGCAAGAGCAGCAGCTAAAAATTATTAATCTTGAAGAATGACAATGGGAAAGACGCTGGAATACTAGAGGACAGATGTTACCCTGATTTTCTAAAATGGAGAAAGAGTCACAAAACCACAGATGAAATTGATGACAATCCCTAGAAAAATTCTGGAACTGATTTTTAAACAGGTGGTTTTAAAGCACTTATTTAAAAAACAGGAGTCTATATTTCCTTAGAGATAAATCATAACACATCAACTGCTAAAACCTGGTTCTCTTTTTTATTTTTTTTAATATTTATTTTATAGTTGGACAAAATACCTTTATTTCACTCAATTATTTTTTACATGGTGCTGAGGATCGAACCCAGGGTCCCGTGCGTGTGAGACGAGCACTCTACCGCTGAGCCACAACCCCAGCCCCCTGATTTCCTTTTTTAAAAAATATTTTTATTTTTGGAAATAAATGTAGAGTCACCAAAAAAAAAAATCTGTTTGCCTTTTTGATAGTGCAGCGAGGCTAGTAGATGTTAGTAACTATATCTTGATTTCAGCCAGGCATTGGTGGAACTCTCTCATAACATTTTCTGCATTTCCATGTTTGATATAGCCCTTTTGTTTCACCTAATATGTAAACTTTTTTAAAATATATTTTTTAGTTGTTGATGGACTTTTATTTTATTTATTTGTATGTGGTGCTGAGAATCGAACCCAGTGCCTCACACATGCTAGGCAAGTGCTTTACCACTGAGCCACAACCCCAGCCCATATGTAAGCATTTTTAAGAACAGAATTCAGTTCTGTTTTATCTCTATTACCCACAGCCCTTTGTACATGAAAGATATTAAAAATTTGTTTCTTGCTATTGATTACGATCCTTCCTTATAAGACAGGAAAATGCTGACCGGCTAAACATAGTGAAACATTGTGAATCCACAACTTGTTAAAAAAAAATTGGTTGGGGAAGGTTTATTAACAGATTGGTGTCAACCTGGAAACATAATATGCCAAAGATTTGAACAAAGTTTGTGCTCTCCAAATAGCTTAACTTGGAGGAGGACATAAAGTTGAAAGGGACAAAATTAAAATTCAGAATCACCTTAGCTTGAATATTGTGTTAAACCAATAAAACAAAACGGTAGGGTTTCATAGGCGATTCGAGAGATTGTTTGCATAAAAACAGGATGGATTATCTGCTTGCCAGGTAGAGTCCCTCTTACAGGTATTTGAACTAAAAATGTGGAAAGAATAGGGAAGTTACAGGCTATAATTAGAGCTGAAAATCTGATGTGAAGAAAGAAGGCTGCCTGTACCCTGGAAGAATTTTTTTTTTTTTTCCTGGAGAGGGAGTGATAGGGATTGAATTTAGGGCCTGGCACTTGATAGGCAACTGCTCTACCACTGAGTCACACCTCATTGAAGATCCCTGGAGGATCCCTGCAGATCCCTGGAGAAATCTTAAATTAGCCAGGAAAGCACCCATTAAAGACTCATGCATGCACTTAATATACATGAATTCAATACTATATCATGGACAGAATAAAACTAAAGGTAAGAATATTCACAGTTTAAAACAGTATGGTGATTCAGCTCATCACTCCATTCTAGAGGACTTGAATTTTCCCATTGTCCTTCCCTTTTGGTGATTTCAACTTCTGCCTCCCTCAAATTACACAATAGATGTGATGCAGGTATTTAAAGATAGGCATTTTTACTACACTGGAACATCCATGACAAGCCAACTACTTCTGGTGCTAAACAGAATAAAGACTGATATGTTCCACCTCTTCAGAAACCATTGTCTGTACCAAACTTATTGAGAATGAAACTCTCAGGGTTAGTTTTGACATTATGTGTTTTTGTCCTTTGTGCTGACCTTAGAACTCAGCCTCTAAGTGAAGGCTACTCTCATGCATGATAAACTGTTGTTCTCTGTGTAGCTCATTTGTTCTCAGGAAACACCCTGTCCTCCCTAGTGAGTTCCAGGTAAAAAGGTTCTCACGGTCATTGTTCTCTATGGATACCAGAACCAGGTGAACCTATCCATGAAGGAATGAGGAATCCAGATTGTCACTCCCCCTGCAGAATTCTTCCCCAGGAGGTTGATTTCTACCCGGCCATGGCCACAATTCACATCTTTACACCAGTGGAGGCAGGAACTAAGGGGTTCTCTAGTGTCAGGGGCTCATGTGATTCATACTGGAGGCAGACTCATATAGTTGGATTGTCTCCACCAAAATTGATGTTGAAATTTAATCATCATTTTGAGGTCTTAGGATCAGGTGGGACCTTTAAAAGGTGATCATATCAGGAGGGCTCTAAATTCACAGATTAACGAGTTAATGGCTTATATAAACAGTGGGTCTGTTATAAAAGCCAATTTGGCTCTGTTATTTATATCTGCCCCTCTCACCATGTGTTGTCCTATGCCACCTCAGGATTTTGGAGAATACCTACCAGCAAGAAGCTCCTCATCAGACATGGCCCCTCAACCTTGCCTTCCAGTCTCCAGAACTGTGAGCCGAATAAACCTCTATTCTTTATAGATTACCCAGTCTGTGGTATTCAGTTATAGCGACAGAAAATGGACTAAGACACCATCATTACCAGAGGCTCCTAAGAGGTAGAAAGATATGGGCCCTGAGTACCTACTTGATCTATCATGCCCCTTCTGTGCTTGGCCTCCACTCTCTGAGTTCCTGGCTGGTCCTGTCCTCTGACTTAGACCCTAACTTTTGGCAGGTGGGAAGAAACTTCCAGAGCCTGCTCCCCTGCTCATAGCCTCTATATGGGCCCACTCTTCCCACAGAGTTCCAATGAAGCTAAGACCCTAGGAAGGCAAATGGAGATCTCTAACCTTTAGGCCACGTTGGAAGGTGGAGATAGACAGCAGAGCCAGGTCTTGCTGTTCCTCAGCGTAGCGCACCAGGTACACATAGACAAGCTTCTTCACCTGGGGGAGAGTGGGTTTCTCACCAAGAGATTTTTTTCAGCAGATGCTCGTACATCCACCTCCCAGGATGTCATCACCCCAGTCAATTGCAGTCCACTGGGACAAATTCTTCAGTGGGATATAGCATCCTTGAGAATGTTTCAGGCCCTTCACCCTGATCCATCTCCAATTCAGGGATATGTAGCCAGTGTCTTCTGGATCAGGGATATTTCTGAGCATGTTGGGCCCTCAAGGGCTGACTCATTTCCTTTATCATTCCCAATCCAGCTTGAGTTTAGTCCTGGCACTGGGGGGATGGGAGGCCCCTCACTGGGTAGTGCTCACCTCTATATTCTTACAGGCCACGTTCTTCACCACAGCAGGAAACAGGTCTGAGGCATTCTTCCCACGGGCAATCATCTGGGTGGTGGGGTCAAAGCAGAGGAAGAAGAGAAGAGGCACAGCACTGATTAGGGGAATGTTCAAGAAGCTGAGGAGAGCTGCTCTTTAAACCCAGGACTCTCCCTATGGAAGGCCCCTTCCCTCCCCTCTCACCGCCACAATCCTCTTCATGGCCTCTAGCTTGAGGGAATCCTTGTTGGTGTCCAACATCTCTTTCAGATCATCATGCCTGGGGGAGGCACAAGAGGTCAGCTGAGGGCAAAGGACGGAGGTGGGGGTATCAATCACAAGGGTCCAGACAGAAAGAAGGGACACAGGCAAGGAAGGCTGAGACAAGACCCAACCAGAGGAGAGGGACTAGAGCAAAGGTGACTGGAAAGGGATAAAATATAGATTAGGGGACTCTGGGTATCAGGAGAAACATGTGGGCCAGCCAGTGTTATGACTCCTATTACCTCAGAATGTGAGCTTATTTGGAAATAGGTTTGTTAAAGATGTGATTACAGATGCTCTTTCATTTAAAAAAGGGTTACAGCCCCATAAATCCATTATAAGTTGAAAATATTCTAAGTTGAAAATGAATTGAATACGTTTCACCTACCAAATGTCATAGCTTAGCCTATCTTCCCTTAAATATGCTTAGAACACTTACATTAGCACAGAATTGAGCACTGAAATATCATATAGCATATTGCCCAGAAAAAGATCAAAATTCAAAATTCAAAGTAGTTTCTACTGAATGCTTATCACTTTCACACCATCATATAGTCAAAAACTCATAAATTGACCCATCATATAAGTCAGGGACTGTCTATTCCTAAGCTATTATAGTTTGGATTTGGAATGCCCCTCAAAGACTTATGTGTTGAGGGCTTGGTCCCCAATACAACAATGTTCAGAGATGGGGCTTTTGGGAAGTGATTGGTCCATGAGGGCTCTGACCTCATGAATGAATTAATCCATTGATGGGTTCATAATAAATGAACTATTGGGAGGTGGTGGAAACTGTAGGAGGTAGGGCCTAGGTCACTGGAGGCATGAAGGGTACATCTTGTCCCTAGCCACTTCCTCTTGTTCTCTGCTTTCTGGCTCTCATGAAGTGAGTAGCTCTGCTCTACCATGCCCTCTCTACCATAATTGTCTGTCTTACCACAGGCTCATAGCAATGGAGCCAGCCAACTATTCATTCATTCAGACTGAAACCTCTGACTGTGAGCCAAAATAAATTTCCTCTTTTACATGTTTTTCTCAGGTATTTTGTCATGCAATAAAAAGCTGACTAACACATAAGTTAAATGAGGTCATACCATAGTAGGGTGGGTTCCTAGTCCAATATGCTTGGTCATCTTATATAATATGACAGCCATGTGAAGAGACAAAGATAGAAGAAGAATGCTATGTGAAGAAGGAGAATTGAAGAGATGCATCTAGAAGCCAAGGAATGCCAAAGATTGCAAGCAAACCCCCAGAATCTGGGAAGAGGCAAGACAGTACTCTCCTACAGGATAAAGAGACATCATGACCCTGTGGACATCCTAGTTCAGACTTTAGGCTCCCAGAACTATGAGACAATAATATATTTTTTCTAAGCAACCGATGTTGTGGTGCTTTGTTACAGCAGACATAGGAAATTAATATAGCCAGAGACTGAGAGTTAGGAGACGAAGGAAGGGTGAGGGGTGGGAAAATATGGACTGTACTCAGAAAACAAGGTCAATTGAATGGATAAGAAAGACCAGTTAAAAGGAAGTGGGAGGACTGGGGATGTGGCTCAAGCGGTGGCATGCTCGCCTGGCATGCACGGGGCACTAGGTTCGATCCTCAACACCACATAAAAATAAAAAATAAAGATATTGTGTCCACCTAAAACTAAAAAATAAATATTAAAAAAAGGAAGTGGGTATTCAATAAGAATAGGATGCCTTTGCTCCATACCTAGTGTGTTTGCAGGTCCTGACCTCACAGACAACACCGATTCCAAGGACTAGACTGGTCCCAGAGACTTTACAGATAAATAGTCTTACAATAAAGACCAGATCTATCACTCAACATTCAACAATCATTCAAGGAAGTTATAAAATCCTAATGAGAGAAATATACAAACATTTGAATGTGCTTGGTTGAGGAAAATAAACATAGTAGCAAAAGAAATACATAAATTTTACGTGCTGTCTGCTGAATTCCAAAGCAATAATTTTCTAAAACTTTGTTAAGTAATAGTGAACATTATCTGGAAAAAAAAAAATCAGTAGGTAAGCACTCCAAAAAATATTTTTTTGGGAAAAGAAGGATGGCAGACAGCTCATCCCTCTAAATATCAAAACATAAAACAAAAGACAATGATAAAAGCATATTGTACCAGGTTAAAAACAGAAGATCGAAAGTCACTGGGGAGGAGCTGTGGCTGTAGTTCTGTGGCAGAGTGCTTGCCTAGCATGTGTGAGGCACTGGGTTTGATCCTTAGCACCATATGAAAATAAACAAATAAAATAAAGGCATTCTGTCCCTCTACAACTACAAAACTTTTTTTGAAAAAAGATGCTTGGGCTGGGGATGTGGCTCAAGCGGTAGCGCGCTCGCCTGGCATGCACGGGACACTGGGTTCGATCCTCAGCATCACATAAAAATAAAGATGTTGTGTCCACCGAAAACTAAAAAATAAATATTAAAAAATTCTCTCTCTCTCTCTCTCTCTCTCTCTTAAAAAAAAAAAAAAAAAAGATGCTTTAGGGTTGAGGATGTGGCTCAAGTGGTAGTGCGTTTGCCTAGCCTGCGTGAGGCATTGGGTTTGATCCTTAGCACTATATAAAAATAAACAAATAAAATAAAGGCATTCTGTACATCTACAACTACAAAACTTTTTTTTTTAAAAAGATGCTTTAGGGTTGAGGATGTGACTCAAGTGGTAGCGCGCTCGCCTAACATGCATGAGGCACTGGGTTCGATTCTCAGCACAACATAAAAACAAAATAAAGATATTGTGTCCACCTAAAACTAAAAAATAAATATTAAAAAAAGATGCTTTAAAAAAAGTCACTGGGGAAATTTCATGAAAGGATGTAAGTTGATACTTTAGGAACAAATAACTCCCCAATGTTGGAACAACTGCTATGCACCAAAGAATTTAAGTTGTGCACATACTTCACACCAAAATAAATACCACATTTACTTATAAATTATTTTTAAATATGGAAGGAAAGAGGAAATTTTATTTATTTTTATTTTTTAAAATATTTTTTTAATTGTAGATGGACACAATATTTTTATTTTTATGCAGTGCTAAGGATCAAACCCAGTGCCTCACACATGCTAGGTAAGCATTCTACTACTGAGCTACAACCCCAGCCCAGAAATTTTATTTTTTAAAATACTGTTAGTTATAGATGGATGCAATACCTTTATTTTATTTATTTATGTGGTGTTGAGGATCGAACCCAGTGCCTTACATGTGCTAGATAAGCGCTCTACCACTGAGCTACAACCCCAACCGAGAAATTTTATTTATTTTATTTTTTAAAAAATATTTTGTTTTAGTTGTAGTTGGACACAATACCTTTATTTTATTTTTATGTGGTGCTGAGGATCGAACCCAGGGCCTCACCCATACTAGGCAAGAGCTTTACCACTGAGCCATAACTCCAGCCCCAGAAATTTTATTTTTAAGGGCATAAAATTACCAGTAACAATATGGCTAGATTTAATTTTTTTTTAATTTAGGTATATAAAAACTAAATTTAAACCAGGCATGGTGGTGCATGCCCGTAATCCCAGAGATTTCACAGATTGAGGCAGGAGGATTATTGAGGCCAGCCTTAGCAATTTAGTAAGACCCTGTCTCAAAATACAATAAAAAGAGCAGGGTATGTGGGGATGTAACTTAGTTGTAGAATGCCCCTGGGTTCAATCTCCAGTATAAGAAAGAAAGAAAAAAAAAAAAAAAAACACCTAAATTTAAAGAAAAAAATATGGCAACCAGAACCACTATTAAAAGTCCCATGCATAGGGCTGGGATATAGCTCAGTGGTGGAGCTCTTGCCTAGCTAGCATGCACAAGGCCTGATGCAAAAAGCCAAAAAAAAAAAAAAAACCCGAATAGTTCCACACGTGGTGACTTAAGCAACATAAATTTATTTTCTCATAATTCTGAAGACTATAAATCTGAGTGTGTCAAGGTGTCAATGGGGTTGGTTTCTTTCTCTCTCTGGCTTGTAGATAGTATGAGAGAAAAACTCTCAGAGAGTTTTTGAGAGTGGGTCAGAGTTAAACCCTAGGAAAGGGTTTATGGGAACTCCCAATTTATAGCCAGTTGGTCAGTTGCAATTGATTTCTGAAGCAGGGGGCAGTCTTATGGGACTGAGTCCTTGACCTGTGGGATCTGACACTCTGTCCAGGTAGAGAGTGTCAAAATTAAGTTGAATTCTAGGATACCTAGTTGGCATCTGCCAGATAATTGGTTGTTGGTGAGAAGAAATCCTTACACATTTTAGTTACCAGAGATGATATTTTCTGGTGAGTGGTGTGTATGAGAGCTGCAAAAACACACTTTGTTTTGTTTTGTTTTTAAACACGCTGTGTTTTTCCTATCTCTTGTCACTGTCCCTGTGTCTTCACATGGTCTTATCTCTATGTGTACATATGTCAAAGTTTCCTCTTTTTATAAAGAACCAAGTCATGGGCTGGGGCTGTAGCTCAGCAGCAGGGTGCTTGCCAAGCATGTGTGAGGCACTGGGTTCGATCCTCAGCATACATAAAAATGAAATAAATAAAATAAAGGCATTATGTCCATCTACAAGTATAAAAAAATTTTTTTAAAAAGTCATGTTGGATTAGGGCCAACCCTATACTTCATTTTAGCTTAATTGCCTCTTTAAGGACTCTATCTCCAAATAAGGACATATTCTTAGGTACTGGGGGCTAAGCCTTCAACATATGAAATTTGAGGGGGACACAATTTAGCCCACAGTAGGAACAAAATAGAAAATATTTGGTATATGGTAAATAAAAGTTTAATACTCAAAACTGATAAAGAATTGATATAAATTTATAAGATCTGTGTCCAGCATTCACTGTCAGGGATGCTATAGGCCCATCTGTCATCTGCTTGCCCCATCAGATAGAGAGAGCCCTGAGCTGTTGTTCTCCATTCACTGAGTAGAGCATGGGCCATTTTCCTTGGTCAAATACCCTTGAGTAGTAAACAACCCATCCATACTCAGAGGTCCTGGATCT